CGGAGGCTATCAGTCGCTCTGCTGATAAAGCAGTGGAGGACAGTGAGAAGATCTTCACTGAGCTCATCCGTCTCATGGAGAAAAGACGCTCAGATGTGAAGACGCAGATCAGATCCCAGGAGGTAACTGAAGTGAGTCGAGTCATAGAGCTTCAGGAAAAGCTGGAGCACGAGATCACTGAGCTGAAGAGGAAAGACGCTGCTCTGAAGCAGCTCTCGCACACAGAGGATCACAACCAGTTTCTACACAACTACCCCTCACTGTCACCACTCAGCGAATCTACAGACTCATCCAGCATCAATGTCTGTCCTCTGAGCTACTTTGAGGCTGTGACATTGGCTTTGTCAGAGGCCAGCGATCAACTGCAGGACGTTTTCAGTGAGAAATGGACAAACATCTCGTTGACAGTGACTGAAGTGGATGTTTTACTGTCACAAGCAGAGCCCAGGACCAGAGCGGGATTCTTAAAATATTCACAAGAAATCACACTGGATCCCAACACAGCAAATGCATACCTGTTATTATCTGAGGGGAACAGAAAAGCAGCTCTAATGAGTGAACAGCAGTTTTATTCTAGTCACCCAGACAGATTCACTAAATATAGTCAGGTCCTGAGTAGAGAGAGTCTGACTGGACGTTGTTACTGGGAGGTGGCGTGGAGGGGGACAGGAGTGTACGTCGCACTCACATACAAGAATATCAGCAGAACAGGGAGCTTGAATGAATGCGGATTTGGACGCAATGACAAATCTTGGGCGTTAAACTGCCACCAAAAGAGTTATTATTTCTGGTACAACAATATCAGAACTGAGGTCTCAGGCCCTCCGTCCTCCAGAGTAGGAGTGTACTTGGATCACAGAGCAGGTATTCTTTCCTTCTATAGCATCTGTGACACCATGAGTCTCCTCCACAGAGTCCAGACCACATTCACTCAGCCTCTCTTTGCTGGACTATGGTTTTCATATTATGGAGACCATGCTAGGTTTCTTTAGGTGGCACTGTTTCCTGTTTTTGCTTAGCCATGGAGGACAACCCCACTCATGATGATTGTTGTTTACCTAAATTGACATTTCTCCACATGACAATGTAAATTACATCCATCCATCCATCTATACAGCGTATTCCTGAATAGGGTCGCCGAGGGGGGGAGATGTCACTTATCTCGACATTAGGCGAGAGGGAGGGTTCCCCCTGGAAAGGCCACCAGTCTGTCACAGGGCTATGCAAATTACACTGTGTTTGTTTTGATGTGTATTTGGGTTGTTCTCTGTCTTGAGCTGCATAAAACAAGCAAATCATCAAACCATCCTCTCAAGGCCGGAAAAGAAACATGTTGTCTGTGATGCTATAAATGCCTGTATAACATTCTTGAGGTCAGTGCAAGAGAGAAAGGGCCTGATGTTTGAAACACTCCTCATTTGGAAGAAGCATAACTGAAAAATGTTTATTTTCTGCTCATAAAACAAAATGCAACAGTGGATTTACATTTGACAAAAAGATCACTTTCTATTTGCTGCAGGGGTTTATTCACTTTTTTCAATAAGATAAGCAAAATCAATAAAATATACATTGACAATGTTTTGTACACTAATGTAATTCCTACCTAGGTTTCTAGCAGCTATACAAAACAAAGCCATGACGATGAAAGACTAATGTACATAAACAGGGGAATAGTACAACATAGGAGACCAGGACCATGGCTCACATGGCATTTTCCTGTTTGTGATCAAATTCTGTAACAGCACAATGGTTCATCCTAGAATCCCGACAGGACCCGGGTTACAGAATTCTCTCACACATCTAGAGAAACTATAAGACAGAAACCACTGCCTACTGATACAGAGTACAGGGTTTAATGCTGAAGAGCAAAGATGAGCGAGAACAGCTTGGTGTAGGAAGAAGCCTATCTGGAGAGACAGCTTTGTGATGTAATCTATACTGGTTTTTTTGAGGACGATAACAATTGATACTTAAAGTGAAGGACCAGCTGGTATTCCCATGTTGTGACATAAACTCTTAATACAGACATTTCTGTTCTGAGCAGGACATTCTGCAGTTAAACCTGTCATTGCCCTGTGGTGAAACAGTGTAATGATAGAACCGTTTCTAAACTATCTCCAAACTTTAAGTATCTATATCATTTCTACGCTGATAACATTATCGATAGGTTATATCTGCAATAAGTGAATATCGGCCTGGACAAGCTATCGCGCTCTATACATAAGAACTTCACTGCTCCAGCCACTATATGCATTTGTAGACATCTGCCTCACCTGGCGATGTGCCCACCTCATCAGCCCATAGATTGGAAAAACAAATCCAGCACATATACCCTGCATGTAGGCTATCTGCATAACAGCACGGTAAATCCTCTCGCAGGTAACATTACACATCCAACACTGTGTTGAAGATGAAAATGAAATCTTTAAATGTTTTTACAAGCACGCTGACAGGCTTACCTTCGTCACGACAGTTTCGAAAGCCCTCTCTGGTCTAGCTGTCTTTACTTCCTGATGTGCTCGATGTTCACAAAATCAAATCTCGCGCACGTTTCAACGCGGGAACAACAGCTGACAGTGAACCACAGAAATTAGAACAGCGCCCTCCTGCGTCTTGGTGGAGATCTTTTTATTTGCCATGTGAACCACCGCCTTAGCTCAAATGAAAACGAATAGAAAACTAACTTTGCTTGCTTACTTTACTACTACAGTAAAACAGAAGACATAAAAAAATGATAAAGTAATGGTTTGATTTGATTTATTCTTTCAAGCATGTAAAACAGTTGATATGACAACACACATAATTTTACACATAATCCAATATCAATTTGCTTATACCTAGTACATGCTTGAATGGAGTAGGAAGAAGTCAGACTTATCCAGTCCTACCCCATGACATCATCTTACCATCATTGGTTTACAAGCAGTATCTCTACATAAATAATTCTCTTCTACACCACACAAGTAATATACTAAAGAATTATAACAAGAATGTTAACATTCTTACGTTTAAACTCGTCAATTCTATTACTATTTTTTATGTCCACACTTAAATTATTCCATAGTTTTACCCCACTTATGGAAATACAAAATCTTTTTTTTGGTTGTACGTATAGCATGAATTTTTTAATTTAACTGACCCCTTAAATTGTATCCCCCTTCCCTTTCATTAAATAGTTTTTGAATTCCCCCAGCCACTTTCAGCCACTCATTATGAAAGACAATGTAATTTACCAGACTTTATATGAGGAGAGAGCATTATCTGCAGATACAAGAGGCCCACGAGGCACATAATACACAGACTAAAACATCTTATTTTATAAAAAATTATTTTTCCTGAGCAAACTGGATTTGTGTGTGCATCATCAACAACAAAATGTTTCCAGAAAAGAGGTGAGAAAGTAGACTGCTGCCACTATTAAAAAAAGTTGCTTTACTTAAAGCTTTGGCCGGGATAGTCACAGCCAAAGGGTATATTAATAGTATTTGTATTAAGAGTAGTATTGTATATTCTAGTAAAACAACTGGATAAAAATGAGAAATTGATTTAAAAAGTTAAGTGCCCCTGTCTCCAATTAAACAATAACATTTTAAAAAGCTGTTACTGTTGTTAGATTACTGCACCGGTTCATTCTTTCACAACAACATTGATGAAACTCTTGATATTCCTCACTTTGTCACTGTCAAAGTTCACCAGCAGCACACTAGAGCCGGCAGCAGTGGGAGTGAACTCCAGGCGGGCTTTAGCTTCCTGTTTGGGGCCCACAGCTCCAATTCTGCAAGAATCATATGCAACAGTAAACACAACTTGCCAAAGCAATCAGGTTTCTGTTTTACGCTTATCTCTATTCTTATCCCAGAAATATTTCAGTAGGCATTCACTGTATAAATGCCATACTAGAGTTTTTTAAAACCATAAATAATGATAAATCACTACCTATCATATAACATCATGTCATACTTAAAGCTAGAAGTAATATATATTTATTTTAGAAATTGGAATTGAAAATTGTGAGACAGTTGCAGAGAAGTGTACTTTTAGATGCATTTGTCTTTAAGTAGATGTAGGCTTGAACAATCAATTATAGTACAAACCCTTTCTTGTATATTAAACTGTAAATTAACTGACTGGAAGACACAAGTAAAACCATAAAGCAGTAAAGAACAGGGAAGCATAGAAATAAAAATAAAAAAAGTGATGCACAAATCTACTCATAACAGCTGAAATGTAGTTGACATACTTTGCTGTTTTACCAACCCCCTGTATGGTGAAGCTGCAGTCCTGCAGTGGCTCCGGTAGAGGGTTCAATAAGGTCAGCTCTGCCGTCACAGGCTGGTTCACTACGGCTTCTCCAGTCAGCTGCAAAGGTTAACGAGTGTCATTATGAAAGAGGAGGTATATTATAAATGATTAAAATTAGATCACAGTAAACCTGTACAACTGAATAACTGATTACAATGATCAAATATTGCAAATATGTCAAATACTTAACACAGTTTGATTTAGCCTAAATTATGTTTATGCCTTTTATGTAATCTATAGTAGGCTAAGGTTCAAGGTTTAATTGAATTATCCATAATGTGATGGCTATCCCACTGATCTGGTTACACAAGCTTCCACCCTGCAAGTATACACACATTCACATAAGCTCTTTAATTTTATGTGATAAATACAGGCATTTCACTGCAGCTACATTATAGTATAACCTTTACAAAACCCAAATTTGCAATTGCCAACAGAGCCAGATGTGATTAGGAGACAAAGGGAAATAAAGACATTATAGAAGCAGACAAACATGCACAGACATAACCTATCATTTTTGTCAGTGACATAGAAAAGCATTCATTTCAGGCACACTCTACGAACATCTTTAAAAGGTTTTTTTAATGTGATGAATACGTGTTTATTGTTACTCATGTTTTGGCTGGGATATAAATAAGCAATGAACAAGATAAGAATCAATAAAATCAGATTTATCTACCAATGCTTTCTATAAAGATTGTGTTGCTAATGAATGCATTTCTTCCCTCTCTCCCTCTATCAATCCATACAGTACCTTGATCTTTATATCTGGCTCATCTAGCACAATGGTCTTCTCAGCCTTATGGTATTGATTGGTCTGCTTGTCGATTGTGATGGCTGACAGCTGGATCAACCTGTCAGAGGTGATCACTGATCCATAACTGTCATACTCCAATCTGAGGTTCAGGAGCCTTTCTGAAAAAACATACACAAAGTAGGTTATAATGACCATTTCAGTGCAGTTTCATCATGAGTCTAGATTTACTGTAGATGAAGATAAATAATGTTAATGGCTCTTTGCACCATTTGCACAGTTTTTGAGTTATTAAATTCAAGGCTCAGATGCTGTGGTATGAGGACTTTGCACTAAGATCAGAACTAACGTTTTCCAGGGGGCACCTCCACTTTGTCTGACGCAAACCCACAGCTCTGTCCTTGGCTTCCGTTGTAGCTGACGGCTCTGGTGTTGAACAAAAAAGTGCAGGTCCTTGTCTCTGTGCTGTTGTTAGTGAGCACGGCACACACTTCAAAGTCTGAGCCCATGATCATGTTGTCAGCCAGCTTGATCTTAAATGAGAATTACAAGGCAATTTAATTAATTCATGAACTATCAAAATGCCAAATGTATAAAAATGCATTTTAAAATATTTAATACTTTTAAAGGTAGTTCTTAAATATGCTGCAAAAAATAATTATTTTCCAAAATCTGAAACAGATGATTCTGTTAAGATCTGCTCTAGATGTAGTTTTTAGCAAAAATCAATACAAGTGTTTATGGCCAAATGGATTTCAGGCTTAACGCATCAACTAAAGTAATGAAAGATTAACTAGGTTTCTATCTATCATCCACATATTTAACAAAACGGGACACTTAAGGACACTTCTGTCTTTGATTTAAACAACACAACAGACATCATTACCAATGTGGCTCATATTAGCCTGCATGCCAGTTAGCAGTGTTTGACAACCACATGTCACACTTCATATCTGTTCTGTCCATGCTGGTGATATTTAGCTTGTGACTGTTGTTCCTCTTTCATGCCACAGATTGTCTGTTTTGCATGTACTGGCAATGTTAGTGACATAGTTTCTTTTTGGATTTTTTTAACAAATAATTTGCTCTGCCTGTGCTACTGTATGTACAAACAATAAAAAGCACCTTGAGATGAAACCCCGGCTCTTCTCCTTGCTGCTGTAGCTTGTTGTGGTGCTGGGCCTTCTCATACACCTGCCTCTCCTTCTTTGACCCTTAAAACCATCAGAATTACAAACAAATTCACACCTAGTTAAACTCTCAAATAGCACCAAACATAATTCCCATTTAGCCGATATTGTGTGAACACATCTTTCAAATTGTACCTGAGGTCATCTCTGTAGTGTGAAAATACATGCATGTCCATTATGTAGTGCATGTGTCTGTGCAAACATAATTCTCCAGTACCTTCTGGATACTTGTACTGGTGTGTGATGTCATGCCTCTCATCTGAGCCCACAGCTTTGGTGCTGATACAGCGTCCAACAGACTTAGTTGATCCACTGAACTTCACAATCTGTCCATCTGACATGCGCACCAAGTCCACGACATCTGCGTTAACCTGTCGCAGTGTGTCACAGGAAATAACATTAGCTGTCACTACATGAAGAGATATCTTTACATGTACAATACATATATGCACAAACACAATGTATCTTAAAAGATGTCTCAGAGCACAAAATTCTCTGCTTGGTGGGTTAGCTTGGATCAGTCCTGGCAAAAAAGAAAACCTCTGACTTGGACTCTGGTTATAAAACCAGTGCAGTCTTTAGAGTCAATACAAACTATGTATATTTGTGTGTGTCTTTATTTGAAATAGTACAATAAAATGTTTGAGTAAAACTGACCTCAGCAAAAATAAAGGGAGCGTCATACTTCTTGGTCAGCTCTCCTTTCCTGATGGCCCTGAGTGAGGCTGGTCCGCAGCAGAAAACACCTGAAAAGTGGTCAGTTTCAGAAGGATTCAAAAATACAGCACAACATCTGGATCCAAGTCATGCAAGTCATTCAAAAGAATACAGTAAATGAAATATGCTGCAAATACTAAATATTTCTGGTGATACCTGTTGTGCCACTTCCAGAAAGAATAAAAAAAAAGTATTTTAAGAACCTTAATTGTTGCTTTGCAATGAGTATCTTTATGCAAACACAAGGAGAAACCAAAATAATGCAAATATATTGGTAAAAGGTTACATTATTACAATTATACACAGTATACACAGTGTTACAAAGGTAATTGGATGCCACTTAGCAATACTAGCAACAAATGCAGCTAACCTAACCACATTTAATATATGTCACAACTAACAGTTGTTAGTTCGCTCGCATGATCTGTGTCAGGTGCATTATCCCAAGAATAAAACTGACAGTCTCAAGATGAGCCGTGTGATCATGCCACACAAAAGCTATCACAAGTTTAGCATAGATGATAACCATACAATCCAGTGAGTACTGTCAGAAATTGAAATTATGCACAATAGTAAAACACTGACATGCGACCCATTATGACCTATCTGTGAAGCAGTTAGTTATTTTTCACCTGGTGTTCACATTATTTTTTGTGTCTTCTTTCCTCTAGTTGGCCTGTGACCATAGCATGAAAATAGACAGCTCATAGAATTATAGTACATTTAGGAATGACTCTTGCAAAACTGAACATTTGGAATGATTTGAGGAAAAGGCTAATCTACACATAAATCAAAGCCCACCATCACTTGTTTCCTGTGGGGTTGGGTCACTGGTTTGCCACCCATCAAACTCTGGCCCCAAGTCTGGACGAGTCATCCAGCTATCCACCCAAACATGGAAGTTCCTGGGAAATGTGCAAATGAAAGGAATGTGGCCATTTTGCTTTAATTTTTAAAATAGTGTAAAGAATAGAAGAAGTTTCTTTCAACCACAAAAGAACAACAGAAGCCAACAAGAGAAAGAAAGTACAAATTATGTACTGAAAGAGACAGTTGTGTTTTTAAATGTGAAAAGACATGGTAATAGCCTAATCGCTACCTTACACTTACCATATTGAATCATTAGAAATTCTTTCGCCATCTTCACCATAGAGGTTTTCTATCACCAGGTTAGCGTCAGTATCATGTGCTGATCGAAAATTAGTTACCACTCGACATGGGATGCCCAGGGCACGGGACACTGAAGGAGGGAGGAGAGCAACATGTCATCTCACCAGTTTGCTAAAACACAAGATTAAGACAAGATCTGCCAGCAAGGAAGAAAAACAAAGACATGACAACATCACATATTACAATAGACTGCTACAAGATCAAGAGATTTGACTCTAAATTTAGGGCCTTGATTTAAAAAAACAAGCTGTGTGGCAGTGGAGGTAAACTGGAGAATGTAACAAATGAAAGACTGAATCTATGAACAATCAGACCAATACTCTCATGCACACCATACTGTACTCCAACCTGTGCATGCAACGGCAGCAAAGACCCAACACTGGCCATAGCGGACAGGGCCACTTTTTGCCCACTGACGCAGAATGGCCCCGCTGCCGACCCACTTCCCTGGATGAACTCCCTCTGAAACCTCACCCCACTTTCCTACAAGCACACCGCTGTCATTATTACTGTTGATCTGTGGGCACAGGGAGAGGGGAGACCATACAGTAAGAGGCATGAATACAAAGGAATAAGTGGGAATCAACAGCATAATCCTAAACACTTTCTCAATGTGAAGTGGTTTATATATTTTTAATCTATAGGTAGTAGTTATAGCTGGTTAAAGTGACAGTGAGTAAAAATAAATAACAATAACATTCTGACAGACTTTAATTTATCAGGGTTACACATGGTGTTAAAACTCCCTTTCTATGCTGCCCTTGTATCATAGAGGTTTACAAGAGTAAGTTTTAAAAGAGGGAAAGCTGTTGCTCTGCAGAAGCATAAATCTTCTCAGGATAAAGGGGGCAGGTGGAGATTTTTTCCTCATGCACCATGGTAATCTCTGCTTTCAAAGCTAAAATAACAGCTATTCACAGCCTGGTTAAAAGGCATTTACAGGGTCTCAACTTACTCCAGCCTAGAGACAGACCTACCATGGCACTTAGCACTCTGGTCACATAGATGGGGTTTCTTCTAGCAGAGCAGTCCTTGTCAGCATCAGACACAAATTTGGGGTTTTCATCCAGAATCTTCAGACAGATGTCCAGTATTCCTGGCTCAAACTGCAGAATGACAAGGAAGAGGGAAGTAGATTAGTGGATAATACTAAGCAGCAAAGATTTGTGTCAGTTATATTTTAATTTTAACCCGGTTCTTTAATCTGAAGGCCCCAAGAAGTAACACTCAGGATACAGAAATCAGCTTTAAGTAGATTTATTTTCTTCTGGTTAGATGCAGAGTTATTACAGCGCTGGGCTCTGAGAGATGACAAGTCTCCAAGAGCCTAGATCATCACCAAACGTTTACATTTATCTTCTTGGCTGGGACTGCCCTGTACATGGGTGGTACAATATAAAAAACCCTTAGACATAGCTCATACATGGGTGAAAAGTTCAAGCTGCTATACTTCCACGTCTGTAAAATAGCATACATTAACACTGTCTTATCTTGAGTTGTCAGGACACTTATCTATGCAATCTGCTCTTGCACCATCATCCAAGAAAATAAGAAACACTACAAGTTGAACTACAGCTGAAAATTATAACTATTATGCATATATAAGAGCCAGGTTAATACTGATACATAATGCTGCTAATAAAACACAAACAGTCATACTAAACTTTATCATTATAAAAGCAAAATAATTCTAACAGTAAATAAAACAACTGTAACTCCTGAAATCCAATTCTAACAATATTTTTACTTAGTTAATATCAGTACCCCCCCTGGTACATTTTAGTGAACTTCAAGGTAATGTTTGACATTTTGTGTACCTGTCCGAAGTTCCAGGGTGTCCCTTTGATGTGTTTATATGTTCCTCTGTAGATCTGGCCATGCTGTGATAAAACATACTCTTGTCTCTTCGTCTCACTGCCCATGTACACAGCATCTCCTGTGAGGCAGTACAGACAAAACACCAACACATTCATTTTAATTTGTTGTTAGCTGCTGAAAGACACTAGGATCATAAAAAAGAAAAAAATATAAGTTGTAAGTGGAGCACAACAAATTGTATTTTTAATCCACAATACAATAAATGACAAAATTCATCATGTGTCACCATCATGAAAATAAAAACTGTATGTACTCACTGGGGCACCAAGCATTAAAAAGCAGAATGAACTGGCCTAAGCCCGTCTTATGCCCGTTCTGGTCCAGAATCAGAGAATAAATCCCTATGGGGGAGTCGGGGGAAGAACTGATAGACAGAGATACTGTGTTTCCAGAGGGATCATTAATGGCAGATGCGCTCCACTCAGTGTCTACTGTGGAGTCGCGTAGGCTGAAGGAAACCTTAGTGCCTGATTCTTCTCTGGGTAATGGACCTGAAGAAATATAAAGAGTAAATCCAGATGCGAGACACACAAATCCTTGTGCACATGCTACTGCTGCAATAATGCATATGTATGTACACCCCCTGTATTTCACACAGACATATAAATCTAGTCACTGGGAGACAAAAAGCGTACCTGTTTCAGCGATGAGTGTGAAGCTGGTCTCACCCAGTTTGAACTTTGTGCTGCCAGGTTTCAAATGTAAAGTAATGATGAAGGGCTGTCCCCTCCTGACAATCAAATGCTTGTCTCCATTCAAGTGTGTATGATGAGTGCTGATGTTGCTCTTAATGTTCAGATCACAGCGCTCAATGTCCAGAACTGTGTGGAAATGGACAGACAAAATGCTTGTCACATCAAATAAAAGCTATTTTGTCATATGTAGAACAAATGTTAATAAAAAAATTAAAAGAAAGCTTGGCTTTATAACTTGATGACTTTAAATCTAAATTTCATCACTTTCTCAAAGTTACTTTAGAAATTAAAAATCACAAAAAAAATCATCTGTAGGAAATTCCACACATATTTCATGTTATCTACCTGCTCATTTCCTGCTTATCTCATTTTACACCTGACTGCCTGATATTCAAACTATTTTTTATTTTTATTTTTCAGGCACATTTAGGGTCTATAAAATTACAAAAAATATACAATACAATAAAAAATGCAAGGAACAGATAATACAAAGCAAGAAGAAATAATAATAACAATAAAATATTATCTTTAGACAAATTTTCAGTTTCTCTGCCGATTATACAGACCATTACTAACATGCTAGCTCATGTACTGAATATCAGAATACAGAAGTAGTTTTTCTTCCTCCTTACCTTGGCTCATATCTGCAGTGGAGTTCTTGTCCCTTGACTTCTGTGTGGAAAGTGACACTTCTGTAGCCTGTACTTACGGGTTTATGACCCTGCAGCGTCATGGCCTCTGAGGCGTATTGCAGGATGTGAAACAAGCAACTCTCGGTACAGGTTTCACAGGAACTTGAGAAGATAAAGAAATGGTGTGATAGTAATATTCTATCTCTGAATATGGATAAAACTAAATTTATGGTATTTGGGAATCGTAGACTAGATAACGAACTGCAAGTGAAAATAGGGGGAGCTAATATAGAACGAGTATATGAAATTAAATTTCTAGGTGTCATAGTTGATGATAAATTCACCTGGAAATCTCATATCAGATATATTCAGCATAAAATAGCAAAAAA